GAAGAAGAAGAAGAAGAAGAAGCGAAGAAGAAGAAGAAGAAGCAGAACAAGAAGCGAAGTCGAAGCGAAGAAGAAGAAGAAGAACAACAAGAACAAGAACAAGAAGAAGCTCTCTCTCTCTCTCTCTCCCTCCCCCAAACTAAGTCCCTTACCTTGTTGAGGCGGCCGTTGGGGGGCGACGGCGGGGTCACTTGCGATGGCGGGCGTTGGCAGGTGCTGGCGGGGTGCGTTGAAGTTGCGCGTCATGCCGGCGGACACACAGTGGTGCAAGGCAGGGAAGGGGGGACGTTGGGGCAGATCTTCAGCATGGGGGAGGGAACGGGGGCCGGTAGTTCCCGCCCCCACCGATTTGAAATCGGTGGAATCTGGGCCGTCGATCTTCGAGATCGACGATCCAGATGGGGCCCGATTTCAAATCGGTGAAATTGGGCCTACCGGCCCCCTTTTTTTTTTTTCGCGGTCCACACGGTCTATGGAGGGGGCAAAAACGGCCCCAGTGCCGGAAAAAAAAAAAAAAACCTACCCTACAGTGATGCGCTGGGGGTGCCCGGTGGCCAACCGGGCGCGACAACCGGCCAGGCGGCCCGGCACCCCCCCCGGGCGACGGCCAGGCCGCCGGGCGGCCCGGGGACCAGCCCTGACAAAAACGCAATTCTCGCAAACTTCAGCCCAATCAGCACACGGCCCCCACCAGTACCTAGCCCGCTTACACACACAGGACTTCGATTGCCCGCCAGTTCATGGGAGCCTTCACAGTAGTTATAGATCTGTACATTTGGGCCCAAGGTCTTCAGGTCTATGGGACTTGTTATAGATCTGTACATCTGGGCCCAAGGTCTTCAGGTCTATGGGACTTAGTTTTTAATAGTTACATGTACGCAGTTTTCAAAGGTCACAAACAAAACCACACCGACGCACCACAGAGATGAGGCAATTCTCGCACACTTCGGGCCAAACACCATGTGGCCCCCACCGGCACCTAGCCTGCTCACAAACATGGGGCTTTGCTTGCCCGCGGGTTCACGGGAGCCTCCACAATCCATACATCTGGGCCCAAGCGCTTCAGGTCTATGGGTTTTTAATGGTTTTTTTTTTTATAGTTTTTAATGGTTATATGTACGCAATTTTCAAAGGTTACACAGTCAACATGCAAACAATCATCCATACATCTGGGCCCAAGCCCTTCAGGTCTATGGGACTCAGTTTTTAATGGTTACATGTGCACAGTTTTCAAAGGTTACACAGTCCACTATTCAACAATCAAACATTTGACAAGCAAGCAGGGGAGGGCATAAGACAAGGAGGAACAAAGAAGTAGCAACTGCCATGCCAGCAAGGAACAACAATCAACAACGTAGTTCAATGTCAATCTCATAATACTGACCTGTCCAAGGCCAGATCACATCTGACCACGTAAATTGGATCTCCAAAATGTCACCATCTTCACTCGTCGGTTGCCACACAGGTTCTCCCTCTAACCAACCCACCACGCCCATGCCATTCAAGATTGTTGCATTGAAGATCACCGGCATTGCTCCTGCATACAGTGGTTGGTGACAGAATGGCCATGCATATGGGCACTCTGTCAGATCTAACAGAGCTGGCAGAAGGCTCGCCCGTGGCTTATATGCTGCCAAAACCTCATATGCTCCTAACCTACATCCATAACCACACATGTGCCGATGGTGTGAACAAAAATCAAACCTGACATTGGAAGCTTTCCTATTTAACTAACCAACCAAATCAGTGCTTTGTCGTTATCACATACATATTGATTTCCAAGTGCAAGGAAAATGAGCGATAGCGGACTTCAGAAATCAAACAGCATCATACACATGAGACCAGATAGTCGTGACCTCGAACCAATAGCAGAATTGCATCACGAGTTCAACCAAATAAGAGCACAGCAAAAGCTCATAATTGACGATGCTGGAATAGTCTCATCATTATCAACGAAAAACCAATGTCGATAGGATCATCATTATCAACGAAGAACCAATGTCGATATCCTATCTAGCACTCGGAGCCCGGACTACAGATGGCAGATCCTATCTACCCTATCTACAATGCCGCTGATGACATCAAATGCTCCCCGAAGTACGAGCAAATCAAGGCCAACGCCGTTCGCCTCAAGCACCAGGTATGTCTCTCGTATCACTCACAACCTTGATCCCCAACTCACAGATGCCACATGCACCCAAGAACCACCATGCGCCCCATCCAGCATACAGCAGCACAGCTCGGCTATGGCTGCCTGTTCCTTCCAGCTCGCCCGTGAGCGCGTGAGTGCTGGCCAGCGTTAGCGCAGCATGCAGCCAGTGCCCGAATGCCGAATGTGTGGGCAGGCCCTTTCCTAAATGGTAGTGGCCTGCCTGCTTGCGTGCAGCCTGGCTGTGCTGGACCCCTGCCCAGAAGCTTCCGGTAGGTCCAAAGAGGCTGAGCCCCAGTCCAGACAAAACAGGCCCTGGCCCTGTGGTGGTTGCCCATGTCCAACTGCCCGCGGCCTGTGTTCGGTCCATGTAGCGAATCTGGCCCGGGGCCTGCCTCAGTTACATTCGTAGGAGGCAGCCTGGGCCTGGGCGCTATTAACAAACTGGCACTGCGCAACTGCCTGAATTTCCCCAGTTGCATGGTGACCCCAAAATGGCCTGTAGGCCTCGGTCAAGCCTGCCTTCACTTAGGGCGGCTGACTGTGTTGAAAATAAGGCCCTATAGGGCATATCGAGGCCTTGTGCCTCGCATTCCCTCCTCCATACTTCACTGCTACTCTGAGAAGTTCATTCAATCTGGCGCTTTCCTTTCTGCAGTAACTTCTTGTAGTGGGCGACCACTTGTGGGGCGGTCTGCATCAGTTCGTCCCGTGTAAACCATCTATCCTCCTTAGGATCAGTGTGATGTCTGAACCGGACGCAATACTGCAGCTTCGGTTTCGGAGGACGTCCCCTGCCTGTAGGTCTTGGAACCGGCATTTCTCTGTGGTCCACGACGTCATCGATGTCGACCTCTCCATCCATGGTTGGGGGCAGCATTGAGCGCCGAGAAGGAAACTGGTCAGTTTCCCTGAAAGGTGCAAGCTTGGAGGCGTGGAAGACTGGGTAAGTGCAAAGGCGACCAGGGATCTGAACTACATATGAAGGCCCATTCTGATCATCCCCAACGATATCTAGAACCTCAAAGGGTCCAAAGTGAGCTTGCGGGAGATCCCGTGCTCCCGCCCCAGTTCTGAGGACTTCACCCAGACTCTGTCCCCTACCTGGAATGAGGATGCGCGGCGGTGCTTATTCTCAGACTATCATCGCAGCCTGTGCACTGTGCATCTGTTCTACCGCCTGCTGCATCAGTTGTTCATATCGATAGGCAAACTCTAGTGTCCCAGGTGCAGCAGTCGACTGGTTCTCAGGTAATAGGAAGTCCAGTGGTAGCCTAGGCTTGAAAGTCAGTAGCAGACTGTTGGGGCTCACCCCAGTGGCGCTGTGCACAGCGTTGTTGTACAGGCTGGTGATGAGAGCAAGTTTCTCATCCCAGTCCACCTGATTGGGCTTGATGTAGTGCACAGCGCGGTTCAGCTGCTCTGCTTGGCCGTTTGCTTCTGGGTGGTTCCCAGAGGTCATCTGCAGCTGTGTACCGCCTGTGAGCGCGTGAGCCTGGCCAGCGTTAGCGCAGCTGCGCTTGCGCAGCATGCAGCCGGTGCCCGACTGTCCAATGCGTAGGCAGGCCATTCTCTATATCGAAGTATCCTGCTGCTGCGTGCGGTAATGCGGTACTGGGCCCTGGCCCAGAAGCTTCCGGTAGACCCCCACGAGGCTGAGCCTCAGTCCGAAGTAAACGGGCCCAGGTCCAGTGGTGGTTACCAGCACCCAACTGCCCTCAGCCTTTGTTCGGTCCACTTTGTTTATCTGGCCCAGGGCCTGCCTTAGTTACATGCATTGAAAGGCAGCCTGGGCCTGGGCACTTCCAACCAACTGGCGCTGCGCAACTGCCTGAATTTCCCCAGTTGCGTGGTGACTTCAAAATGGCCTGTAGGCCTCGGTCGCGCCTGCCTTTACTTAGGGCGGCCGACTGTGAGGAAAATGGGCCCCGTAGGGCATATCGAGGCCCTGTGCCTCGCATTCCCTCTTCCATAGTTCAATAGTCTTCTGAGAAGTTCAGTCTTCGATAATCTGGCATTTTCCTTTCTGCAGAGTTTTCTCGTAGTGAGCGACAACCTGTGGAGCGGTCTGCATCAGTTCCTCCTATGTGAACCATCTATCCTCCTTTGGATCAGTGTGATGTCTGAACCGAACTCGGAGGGCGTCCTCTGCCTGTCGGTCTTGGAACTGGCATCTCCCTGTGATCAACGATGTCATTGATGTCGACCTCTCCATCCATGGTTTGGGGCAGCATAGAGCGTCGAGAGGGAAACTGGTCAGTTTCCTTGAATGGTGCAAGCTTAGAGGCGTGAAAAACAGGGTAAGTGCGAAGATGTCCACGGATCCGAATGACATATGAGGGTCCGTCTGGTTCACCCCAACTACATCCAAAACCTCCCACGGTCCGAAGTACTGTGGCATGAGCTTATGATAAATCCCGTGCTCCTCTCCCAGTTCTGAAGCCTTGACCCAGACCCTATCCCCTACCTGAAACATAGATGGGCGACGGTGCTTGTTCTCATATTCGATCATCGCCGCCTGTGCTTTGTGCATATGACTCTCATCTCCAAAAGCGAACTCCGAAGTGCCTGGAGCAGCAGTAGGCCGGTTCTCAGGTAGCAGAAAGTCAAGGGGGAGTCCGGGTTTGGATGTTAGAAGTAGGCTATTAGGACTTACTCCCGTGGCACTATGAACTGTGTTGTTGTATAGGCTGGCGATGAGAGCAAGCTTCTCATCCCAGTCCACTTGATTAGGCTTAATGTAATGCCTTAGCAAGTGTTGAACAGCTCGGTTCATTTGCTCTGCCTGTTCGTTTGCCTCTGGATGGTTCCCAGATGTCATCTGCAGCTGCGTTCCTTGTTCGGCAGCCGCGGCCTTCCACAGTTCACTGGTGAATCGGACATCCCTGTCGCTGATTATAGACTTCGGCAGGCCAAAGTCTCTAACTTAGTTTTCCTTAAATAGCTTGATAACGTACTCAGTCTTTGTTGTTTCCGACATGGCAACTAACCTAGCATACTTACTAAATCCATCCTCGATGACGTAGATGTACCTCATGCCACTCTTGCTGGTGACTAGCGTATCCATGAAGTCCATGGACAGGCTTTCACCAGGCCTTCCCGAAATGGGAAGGGGCTTGAGCAGCCCAAGAGGAGCCTGTGTCCGGGGCTTGTCACGTTGACAAACTTGACAAGTCTCGACATACAGTTTGGCATCTCTCATCAT